AGAATCGATAAAATTGAAATTTTAAAATATAAAAACAAGGATTTGTTTTTACGCGTGCACGCTGGTATAAGTAAAAGCTATTGAACTTTAGCTGTCACATTATAGCACATCGCGTATGTATCATCACAAAGTATAAGAGAAAAACGTCGTATTCTATTATTCGTTGGGTGCATGTGTGCACGCACGCGATCGTGTGTGTGTATGAACTATTGATGAGAATACACGATGGTCTAGCGATGTTTATCTTTATTTTTCTGGTCTTTTTATTCAAAATGCGAAAGTACCTCTCTCGGACGAAACCCCTTGACGTTAGTGACACCGCTGAGATTTCAATATCACAACAGAGTTAGTATACGAATTTGGGTCATCCTTTTTTGTTTGTTGTCCGTTCATTTTTTTTTCGCCATATTTTCCCTTACCTAGGAAAAATATTTTCAACCCTCAATCAAGTTTAACCCTATAATAATGCATGTAGGGGTAAAGTCAATAAAATGMGAATTCTATTACTATGAATAATTATTTATGTGACGTTTAAATTCAAAACAATACTTGATTAACTGTGAATATTTAAAACTGAATGGTAATCACATTTAACTGACACAATTTCATAATAATATAGTCCGCTYTWAGTGCATATACATATTACATATTATGAAAGAGTTTCGTTMTTTGTACCTATATGGCTATATATATTCACAACACAGTTATACATAATATAATATACGTGACTATAACACTTTACAATATTTGTTTAACTTTGACTTCAAAAGATACTTCATAAACTACCTATAATACTTACATCATTAAATATATATTTTAATAACACAACAAGAATTGTATATAGTAAAATTATAAATACAATAATTATAAAATACATTGAAATATTTAAAAAGAAATGGAGATTATATGCATATGCATATGCAATCAATAAATACATTTTAAAMATGATAGGCATGTGTAGATTTTCATGTATTTCAAAACAGTTTTCGAAAAATTACTCAAAACATAATATACCCGTACGTCAAATACAGCAATCACATAAAGAATATTTGGTGTACCACAGTTTCAAATATAAACTCGTGGATTTTGTTTTATATTCATCCAACATCTATTTAAAATACTTTTCAAACGTTCTGTGACTTTTCTCGATTGTACATTTTGAGTTTATCAAAAGACAAAAGTTCTGACATATTCTGCAGTTATCGTTATTGATCATTTTCCATAACCACTGAACCGAAGWCGATTGGTTACCTGCTATAATTGGCAATTTTATATGACTATATTATTGTATTATATCGGTACCTAGTAAAGGTTTATTATTTTGTATTCTGCAGATATTTGTTCTTAATATACTAGTTTCTTAATCAGAACTTACATAAATAACGTGGACGGTATCTGACATAATAGGTACTTGCATTATTCG